CTCTAAAAATTAAGAAAATAAGTGAAGATTCATCTTATCTGGCACAAGAACTTCTACAACACAGAGTCAAAGATGATAATATGCTAGGCAGAAAATAATCAATCAATCTTTGTATATTAGAGTTCTCTCTTTTTCTAGTTTTTTTTCTTTTTCTCTCTTTTTTCTACTCTAGCTATATATATTTTTGTTAGATTATCTTTTCTTCTTTATTCTCTCTTTTACTAGAACTTTCTAAAATTTTTCTCTTCTTACAAATTTTGCCACTCTTAAAATTTTTCTACTCCCTTCTAAATCTTTCATTTATCTATTTATATTAGTTCTTTTTTTGTTTTTAGGATTTAACAAAATGTCAAATCTTTGAGTTTTTCCTCTCCTCATGAATAAAGACAATTTTTGGTATTGGGTATAAGCTTCTACAGTACAAAATTTTCATTTCCAAGGGCTAAACTTATTTTTCAAAGTTTTCTATTTTTTGTTAAAATAATCTTATTATTATTATTATTATTATTATTTTAATATTTAAAAATAATATTTTCTAAGAGACAAAAATTGATCTTCACAAACATAATTTAAATAAGTCATTTTCGTTAATTTTGTCTAACCTTGTATTTTAACTTTTTAGCTTTATTTTTTATTTTCTTTTTCACACACACATCAGTAAATAATCAATATTTCTCCAATTCTTTAGAAAAAATAAGACGGCCCAAATCTCTAATCCCTTAATTTTCGTTCATTTCTTGGTAACCAAATACTTTCAGGATTGATGATTGAGTTTGCAAGACCCCTCGAGATGGTGACAATAATCGTTTGAATGAAGTTGGTGTTAATGTTGCCACTGATAACTTTCTTGCAATCAAAGTTTGATTCTGTGATTCAATTTTTTCATATAATTTGGAGAAGTTAATTTCTTTCAATTTCATTATTTTTTTGTTTTAGTAACGATAACATTTTGAGATTGTTCATGTATATTTTAGTTTCCATTTCTATCACTATGTACAGCAAGTGTTTTAAATTTTTTTTATCAAATACAATTGATTATGGGTCAAATGGGAAAGTTAAAATCACAGTTGTTTCTCACATGCTTGAAGCTTGCTAGTGATTATATTATTATTTTAAGCAGTTAGATTTCAAAAGTATTAAGTTGTGAACATAATCTTTCATGTGGCTTTGGCATTGACCTGGGTTAGGACCAGCTCATCTAAAATGTACGTCAAATTACTAATTCTTTTTTAAAAAGTTGGCCAATAAATTGAGCCCGACCCACTTGATACTAAGGATTTTGGCATATGGACTTTTAATATGTGTGGGCTTGTCGACTTTGACCCGAACATATGGATCAAGTTAACCCATTTGAGAGTTCTAAGCTCAACTAATTCCCTCTTACCTTTGCATGGATAAAAAATATTTTTTCTTTTCATATTATTAGTGGTAAATTCTAATGTGTTCTGTACCCTTTTATACGTTTATGTGTATAATAATTATGACTGTTAATTACAAACTTCTATCTAAAGATGGTATTTAATGTCTCTCAAGTTTAAAAGTACTATAATAACCACTGTTATTAGTATTTAATTTTAAGAGACTTGTCTTATTAGAGAAATGTATAGATTTGATATGGCTAGAGTGATTATTATTAGAACAACTTGGATGAAGACATAAATCGATTGTTAAATGTTAAAATTAATGGAGTTAATTATTTCATCCGTTTATTTAAAGAGAAATTCTGCAATTCAGAAATTCATTAGTGCATATTGCAAACGAAGTGAGTGAAGATTGGGGACTAGGCGATAAAAGTGAGGAACCGATTAATTGTGATTTAGCATCAATTAATGTGGTTCAAAAATCAAACGGTGATGACGTTAAACAAGTAGTGGATGACAAGATCAATATTAATGCGAATATTGTCAAAATGGAATGTGCGACTGTATGATCAGTTTGGTGGTGATTCGGTGGATATGATTGCTGACAATAATAGTTGTTAAAATGAAGTTGATTTTAGAAGAAAGAAAAAAATCACTAGCTTAGTTTATGTCACCCCTCAAACAAAAGAGGGTTTTTTTTTTTTTTTTTTCCAGCTAAAGAGTAACACAGGAGCAGCCGTGAAGGACCCTCATGTGGGTTTTTTTTTTGTAATATTTTTTTTCTCAGGCATGGGAGGTTTGTCATATTCTTTGTTGAAAGTTCTTCTTCTTATCTCTTTTTACATGTTTATCTTTTTTTTTTTCACTATTTATCTTTTTTTCCTTCAGTTGGTTTCTTTCTTTTCTATATTTAAACTCATTTGAGCTACATTGTGCTAAACCGGAAGAAAAAAAAAAGAATAAAAGAAGAAGAAGAGAATGGTCTATATCTTGTGGTTAAGTTTCTATTGATGGTAAGTAGGAGATTAATTTTAAATTTTCTTGTATTTATTATTTGAAGGATTGTTAAGTTGTTGAGTATGCTTGCTTAACTTTTTATTCTATATTTATTGTACATAGTTAAAATACTCTTAATATTTAATATTCTTTGACTGTAAGTGTTGTGGGATTTCTTAATTGATGAATATTTGGAAAGAAAAAATTGATATTGATTTGTCGCTCCGTTAATAGTTGTAAATTAGAGAACCTGAAATATAAGAAATAGGTTAAAATCATGTGACATGCCAAAAAAAAAAAAACACACGTGTCCCCTTGAAAAAATATATATATGAAGCTAAATTTGGTAGGGAAACATTGTAAGTTAAAATAGATTTTAATTATTAGAAAATTAGGATAATGATTGGACAAATTTTGTCATAGCGGGAGTTGGAGAGAAGTGTGTCAAATCACTGCCAAATACTATTAAAATATTCAAATTTAAAAAGGGGCCAAACTCCTTTAAAGTGTTAAATGTCAGAAGTCTTTTTGCCAGTTGGTAAAGAAAGGTAATTCTAATTGGAAGGATATTTTTTTTTAAAACTGTTTGAAGGCATAGATTGGGATAAGCTTTAGAAGGTATGAGTTTCCACAAATTAAATGAAACACAATCATATTTTGACTTGCTCATTATTGATAGAAGGATAAAATAAAAGGGGGAGTTTGGAGTTGTAGTAGTAATTGAAGTCTAGGGGCTTAACCTTGAGTTTATTAAGGAATTTTGGAATGGTGTAAAGGAATATTTTATCACTTCTGTCAAAAAATTTCATTTAATTAAAAAAATGGTGCCAAGGGGAAATAGTTCTTTAAATGTGTTGATCTCCAAAACTCAATATCCTAAAAACAACTAGCCCTTCTGTGTGCCGGAGTTTAAAATATAACTTTTTTTGTCAAGGATATATAAATTGATGAATATGATCATGGCTGATTGTGTTTTACATGTGGGCTTACAACATAAATGTTGTTTTCTAGTGTTTAGCTCTTTGAAAAAATTGGTTGTCACATTTTAAACAGTCTAAGGAGGGCTTTAATTCAAAAATTCTAGAAGTATGTTTGGAAGATGATTTTTGGAGAGGAAGAGAGGGAAAGACTTATTTTTATATTTTAAATAAATATATTTAAAATTAATAATTTTTAAAAATAAAAAATATAAATTAATATAATAATAAAAATTTAATGTATTAATAATATATTTGTTATCCTAAATAATATATAATTTTTTTAATATAAAATTAAAAAATAAGTCCTCTCATCTCTTTCTTTCTAAAAATTCTCTCTTAAACATACTCTAAGGCAAAGCCATATACCCACCTCTATCCTTTGTCTTATTTCTATGGAAGCTTTTTTCTTTTTGTTTCAAGTCTTTTATATGTATTTGGTGGATTTTTTTTTCTTCTATAATGAGTTTTTTTCTTTATTTTTTATTTTGTTACCTTCTTTTTCTTTTCCTTTACCTTTATTCTCTTAGATGATAGACTCCATTTTAATTTCCCTCCAACCAAATTTGTTGGAGTCTCTCTCATATTGTAAGTTAGAGTTTCAACGTCCCACTGCTTTAAATCCGTTGTCATTGTCTTAGGTCAATCACTCACAATTACAAATTACTAAAGGATTAATGTTTTTAGCCCTTGTTCATTTGACTTTTATTATGTTATGTGCTAATCTGAGGGAAAAAGAGAAAAGAGAAGCCTCTGTGGTTGGATTCTTTGATTCGAAAATTATGATTTGCTTTTTAATTTTTCACGGCGAAGTTCATTAAATTGCTAATTTGTGATTAATTTTGAAAATGCATGCTTAATCCTAGTATATATGTTATGCATGCTTAATCCTAGTATATATGTTATGCACTGCTCTTGTTATTTAGTATCATTCGATTATAAATGTCATTAAGCTTTTCATCTATGAATCTTTGGAAAAAAATGTTCATGAATTGTCTTGTTGTTACATGGTACTAGTGAACCTTGCTAATGAATCTTAGATTCATCATTCGAAAAATATAATTAAGGTAAAGACTAGTAAAATCTTGTTAACAAGTATTTTTAGTACACTAATTAGGAAATTAATAAATGATTTTGTATTAATAATTATATTAAAAATTATGAGGATGAGTGTCCTATTATATTTTTTTTGTGTGCAAAGGGTATTATTATATTTTCTAAAAAAATTTAAATTTTTAACGAATGCTCTAATTAAAATGTTTTAAAACTAATTGACGTTAAGGGCCGCATGGTCCGCATGGAGTATACATGTCTCAATACGGCAAGTAATAATGGCACGTGACAACCATATGAACCCACATGCCGCACATGTGAACACAGACAGGCGCTCCACGCCCATTTGCTTCCCCACGAATGAAGGATGAGAAGAATCTCAGGGGTTGTTAATTTTTTAAAATAAAAAAATATACTATTTTTCATTTTAAAAAAGAAAACTCTTTAAAAATCAAACAAACATTCTCTAATAACTATTTTCTGTTTTTATGTATTGTTTTTTATCTTATTTTCTGAAATATTTTTTTTCTCTTTTTATTACTTTCAGAAAGCAACCACACCTTAATGCTCTAAGTGAACGATTGAACAATGTCACACACATCCTTTCGAACTCAACCCACGTTGCCTTTAAGACAGCAAATATTGAAATTTATTATTATTTTTAAGGCATGTTCTGTAAACATGCAATCTAATAATGAGAATGCAATCCATGAGCGCAGAAAGAAAATGGACAAAATCTTACAGGATTCCCCAACCTAATGGAAAGAAAGGTATAAAAAAAGAAAGCTACCAAAACATACGTATTTAATTTAATTAGCCTATGCATTTCATAGCAAAGGAATCTTAACATTTGACACACTATTTTAAATAAACTAATATTACAAGAAGGGGAAAAAATATTATATAACAAAGAAAAGGGGCAAAAATATGCAAAACCCAGCCAACACACATGAAATGAAGGGGGAAGTATATTCACCAATCTCCCCCATGTTATAATACAAAGTATTGAGGGAAATGTGAATGTAGCTGAACTCTATTATGTTGAGGTGAATGACTCTGCTTGCCTCTAATGATGGACATGAGGAGCTGGTGCCGCCGCCACCCGTGGCGGCGGTCGCGGGCACTGGTAGCACTTGGCAAAAAGCCCAAATGTGTCAATTTGCTTTACAAAGTTGGTCACGCTGGCCCATCCGCCAAGCCCAAATCCAACAACCAAAACCCACCCCACAATGAATGCATTTAAGACATACATTGCAGTCCAGCTTGGCATGAAGAAAGGAGGCTTCTCTGCAGCATTCTGCAAAAATGAGAAAAACATCTTTAAAATTTAGGAGCCCCGACACTACTGTTGTATTACTCAGAAATGTCCCAAAAGGACTACCGATGATGCCAAATAGAGCGATTGAAAAGATCTCGGAGATTAAAATTAGATATCTATGGGGTTAAACTTGGTATTATATCTTGGAATACCCCATACTACTATGTTCAAATCCATGGAATTTTTGTGACACTTCCCCTGCACGTTTTCACATTAATCTTCTTATAGTCTTAATCATTATATAAAAGTATTAACTACTTTTTAATAAATAAATGCTTTTTTTTCTGCTTAAATCTTTTAGAAACTGAAATTGTATCACCCTCGTTATTCTCCTCCTAAGTTGAGTTATTGTAGAAAGATGAGTCAACTCCACCAGCTCAGCAAAGGCATAGTACAGTAACCCAACTGTAGCAAATAACTAAACGAAAAAGACCCACCACCAGCCTCAATTCTTCTCGTAATATTTCCAAATCCAAGTCTTTAATGCGTTTGTACATTTGCTGCTACCTCTCTCTCTCTCTCTCTCTCTCTGAAACGATAGAGTGGCTGTGCAGAGGGTCATTCAATAATGCCACGACAAAGTGAAGGCAATTCAACTCGGGTAAGTGTAACTAATGCCTTTTTGTTTACATACAAAATCAATTCAAACAGTATAAGTTTTAGTGTAAAAAGTGTAATTAAAAATAAATTAGACACATTTTAATTACGAACAAAGATTTAAATAATTAAATTCAACTAAATTTGAAAATAAACAGGAGGCATAACATCTTATTCTGATTATGAACCCACTCATTAAAATATTGGGCACACGATATGGTGGTGGGGCAGGTAAAGAGATAGTTAAGACGTGAAGAAGATTTACCTGTCTCGCAGAGGCCTTTCTGTAAGTTAGCATATGAGCTAAGGAAGGGATGATGTAGACAGTGAAGCTAACGAGTAGAGCCCCAACAGCTGAATTTATGGGCCCAAAGAAAGGGAAGATTATAGCCAAGAACCAAATAGGTATCACCACTGGCAACCTTGCAAGTGCCCTCAAACAAATACTCTTCGTGTCATGCATTCCAATTACCTTCTCCCACACAAAGTACAATGGAGTACACGCGAACCCAAATGTGATGAACTGCATATATACATTAGGGAATGGAGAAAAATGACGTTAGTATGAGGAAATTATAATTAATCACTGTAAGGAAAACTAAGTCTCTTGGTGTGTATTTGATGTCACTCCCATGATTGATTATACTACTTCTTTTGCATGGTACGTTTACAGGCAGTTATTTTCGAGAAAGAAAATGCTTAGGCATTAGACTAGCTAAAGAAGAGAATGGCAATGGAAATGTTAAATACGAGGAAATGTGCTGACTGGAAAGTAAGTGTTTGAAATTAAACTTGATAACTTTGTATAAAATACGAGTTTTATAAATTTAATTATTAAATTATATTTTATTATTTTAATAATCATGCTTATATAATTTTAGATAAATTAAATGTCAATATCTATGATATTTTATATGTTTATATTTATTTGTATTTTTATAAGTATAACATCTATCAAAATAAAAAAAAATTAGTCTAAAACACATGTATCCTTCATTGAAAATAATCCTGAGTCAAATAAGACCACCGAAGGTGACAAAACTCTCTTTTCAAATTCTAAAACTTAAAATCAAAATTACATCAAAATAAAGCTAATTGATGAAATATTAACTAATACTTAAATATTATGAAGTTTTTCAAATTATAATTTATTTAATAAATTTTTAATTTAATAGATAAATTAATGATATTCAATGTTATTAAAACTTATTAAATAAAGTAAGCAGATCTATACTCTTCTTAAATCAAAGATAAGAAAACAAATTAGTGAATGAATTATTACATATAGAGAGAGAGAAAGAGAGGTCCTCAAATGAATTATTATATTTATCTGTTTAAAAAATAACGTAAATATAATTTCTTTTATTATAAATGTATGAGATTACATATGAATTTACCAGATGTAACCTTCAAATTTTTCCTTTTAAATTTACACCTTTGCGCCGCAATTGAAAGCATATCAAAATGAAAGATTTGCCTTCGGTGCTCAAAACCTATGTCAAAAATTTCTTACATTGTCATTTAACAATGCTTTGATAAATTATTGACTGTCCACGGTACAGGAGTACAGTGAATTAAAATCTAATCCTTAAATATTAGTTACATGTCTTAGTGAAAAAGATATTCTATTATCAATATTAAAGTTATAGTTATATACACAACACATATTTGATGGAAAAAATAAACATAATAAAATAAGATAACGTGTTTTTATCTATATTACATTTTTATTATTTGTTTAGCAACGAATATAATATGTTTATTTTATAAATTAATTTTATATTTTTAATATAAATTTTATCATACAAAAGATTTTGAATTAAAAGTATACAAGATATGATAACATAATGTAGTTGATTTAATATTTTAATATGTTTTATTTTATCACCAAATAAATTTTTATAATCAATTATTTGCCTACCCGTGTGTACTTATAATAAATATTCAAAATATTTATTTCATATTAACATATATATATATATATATAATTATTTAATAAGTTTTTTGTTTATATAAAATTTAAAATTTCAGAATTATCAGTGAAGTGAACTTTTTGTCAAATCAAATAACTAGCATAAAAAAATCATTATGATAATTTCAAGATATTATAAATCTGTGTAGATTGTAGACTCTCGTTAATGCTTTGTAAAAATTTTCTCCGCTTATTTTGCTTTTACTTCGTTATATTTGTATTGGAACTTTATCGTGCTTTTGCTGACTCCTTTGGTATTTTCTACCTTGAAACCTAACGCAGGGAATTTTGGTATAGTATATTAAAATTAAACTCAAAATATTATACTTTTAAAATGAAAATATAAACCCAACTCAAAAGTTAGCACTAGAACAGTGGTGCTCACTTATTTATAGTTCGGTTTTAAAATATTTTTATTTTATAAAATAAACATAATAACGCTTTAAGATGTGACTTTACGACTTTTTGTACTAAAGATAGAAAAGCGAACACCTCGCTTACCTGGTGAATGAGCATGAGGATGACGGCGGCGTCACGGAAGCCAGACCTGGGGAGGAGAGAGAAGGCGTTGGAATGGTCAAGAAGTTGATCTCCGAAAGCCCAATAAACGGCGACGGCGGAAGGAATCGTTAGTGTGAAAACGTACAAAGTGGCCAGCAAGTAAATGTACTTGAACTTTTGGGGCTTCCACATGGCGTGCATAATCTCTCTGCAACATTTGTCACCATTATTCACTTTACGCACCAAGATCTAGGAAGACACATTCACAATTATAAAAGACACTGAAATTTCTAGAATATATTTTATTATTAAATTCTTTTAATATATTAAAAATGTGTTATTAGTATTTTTTTCTAAAAGTAAAGGCAGTAAAAATATACTACCTTATAATATTTTTTTAAAAATAATTTAATTCGTATTTAAAAATTTTAGAAGATAAAAAGCATGTTTAATATTCTATAAAATATAAAAATTTAATATATTTTAATCATTTCGTAATAAAACAATCGTTAACCAAAATTTTACAAAAAAGGAAGACTTTCCCTTTTAGATTTTTTTTATGCGCAGTGGTTTTATACTATGAAAATGTTCCGTGAATAATGAAGTTTGACGATATTTTCTAATTTAAAAATGTATTTTAAAATAGAGAAATATTGAAAAATATTAATAATACGATATACAATATTATTTTCATATTCAAAATATAAAACTCTGTGTGTGATGGTTCATGAACTCGACATGTTTTTAAAATTAAATAGAACAAGAATTTTGTGCAACTTGGCGACAAAAGGTACCTATGCTATAGGAACCAACTATCCTATATAACCGTAACATTTCATTATCCCAAGTTTAATTAATTTAGAACGGAGGTACAATCAGAAAATAGAAATAATGAATTCAACTGTAGAATTTCCCTAGAGATAAGGAAGGACGGATGTAATACATTTTAGAATAATTTTAACATTTTTAATTTATATACTTACAGTTTTTTAATTATTTAATAAAATTTATTAAGTTTTTTATAATTTTAAAATAATAAATACACACTTTTTATTTGATATTTATTTAATAAAATAAGAAGAAAAATATTTAGAAAAATATAAAATGCAATAACAAAACTCAACTTTTCAAGAAAAAAGAAAAGAAAATAACTTTTGCATGATTTTTGTGTTCCCCCTTGGATCTCGAAAACCGAGAAGACCGGCAAAAGCTGCAAAGAGAAGCAGCGAAGAAAAATAGGAAAAGAACGAGTGAAAGAAGACGGAGGATAGATTATGATGCTGCTGAGAAAAAGGTAAATCTTACACGGTCACAGCATGTCCTCCAAACGTGTAGAGTATGTTAGTGGCTCCAGTGAAGTATAGCACTAGCTTTGATGGACCCGAGTGTATCACATTTTCTGCCTGTGAACATGATTCGCAAGATGAATAAATATCATTAACAAACAGCAATTTCCATTCAATTCAAGGACATATCATAAAAACCGCTGCTATAAATAATTCATATGTTACCTGGCCATGAACGATAGCTGCTATAGCTAAGTACCAAGCCGTGTAAGTGGTCATTCCAAGACCCAAAAATGACCACATACGGTAATTGTGGAAGGAAGGTATGAACACAGTGGTAGCACAGCAAGCTCCAAAAATATAAGTCCAAGTTCGTTTATCCAATTTGTCATTTATGTAATAGATGTTACTGTTCGCATCAGAGAACCAACCAAAACAAAAGCACCAAATTTGTTGTAATCAGATGAAAACCCATTTTAGATTACTCCAAATTGCCTTTAAAATCGAAGCAAAGATCTCACCTTGCACATGCTATAAGCTGTATTACAGATCCAAAGAGGAGGAAAGTACAGTTGAAGGCTAGCCCCGCTGCTTTCCAATATGGACCAAGTAACCCATCAAGGACTTCGAACCACTGAAATAATCCAAAACAGTGCATTTGGATTTAGTCACTGTAGTTTCTCCTTAACAGATTAGAAACCAGTGGTGATAGAGGAGTCAACACAACACAAGACACCAACCTGAATGACATGGTTTTTGAAGCTGACGTTTTCCTTTTCCTTTCTGGTGCGGTACTCCACGTATAGAACACTGATTAGATAAGCAGTCCAGCTTCCCATAAGCCCATAGAACACTTGAAGCAAGATGCCTGATAGCATGCCAAGTTGAGAGAAGGAGTACGGCAGTGTCAAGAGTACTTGAGCTACCTATAAAAACGAGAACTTTCACTGTTAAATCATGAACCAAATTCCAAAAGCGACTAAAAGAGAGTTATTTATTCAAGTTCTTTTTCTTTTGTTTTTGGGTAATGGATATTTGAGTCTAATTGGTGTGGTAATTTACTTGATTTGAAGCACAGCTAAACCATGCATCCCAAACAGAACCACCATGCCATAGGAGGCTCTTGAGGCTGAACATGGACTGGTCTTGCACACTCTCTTCTTCCCTGGTGTTGCCACCTTCATGTTCTGTTTCGTTCTCGTTCAAGTTAGTCACTATTGCTTCCTCTGCTTGCTTCTGAGACACCATTGTCTCGGTTATCCACAAAAGCAGTCTCTAAATTCTGGTGGATCTGAAATACATAATAAAAGGACACTAAATGAGACAAAAACCATGATCAAGAAAACGAAAGCCAAGAAAGACCCCAGATCCAGATAACTGAAAATTCCTTTGCAGAATTCCAGATAAAAAATAATAATAACAAAAATAGAAGTTCAGTTCCCCCCACACCCACACACAAATCCAAAACAGAAGAGATGTGGGGAACAGAGAAAAAAAATTTAAAAATCAAGAAGTGGGCACAGACTCTTCACATGTTTTACTTCCCTAATAAGAGAGCCAAAGCTGAAGAAAATCCAATACTAATAATCGCTTTCTACTAACCTTGGTTGAGATGTCTCTTTCTTCTAAAGCTTCAAGGGAGAAAACTCAGATGAAAGATCCTCCTTCCAAGGATTTGTTATGAATGTCTTTACTCTTTGTAGTTTGTACCTTTGTTTTATTTTTCTATTTTTCCCACTTTTTTATTTGTTCCCGGTTGAGTTTATTACACTGCAACGATGGGTAGTGATGACTATAAATTCCTCGTTCATTGAGGGTGACACAGGAAACTTTAAATGCAAGGAAATTTCGAGCTTCAGAATCTGACCATACCCTGTGGAGCTTCAAAACTCAGCACAATAATAGCACATCTTTAAAGCCGCCACCAATTGACACAAAAAAAATGCACAGCCAAAACGCCCCAGAGACTGCAAAAGCAGCAGGGAAAGAACAGAAAGTTGGTGGTTTTTGTTTTTGGTTCAGAGACTCTGAGAATGAACTATAAAAGACCCTTTTCGTTACTATTCAACCAGATATATATACATAAAAAGGGAACGGGGTGCTTTTGTTTTTATAATATATAGCCAAAAGAAAAGTAAAGACCGTGAAAGTGTGAAGCAACCAAGTGAGTACTGTGTAATAATGCTCGTGTTGCTTTTTGTGGCTGTCTTTTTTTTTCTCTTTCTAAACTCAACGGGGAAAGTTAAGAGATGAGAAGGATGAAAACACAATTCACTGATTGTTCCAAATTCTGATTCGATTCTTGGTGGTGATGACACAGAATTTGGAGATCAATGGGACTAAGACGTTGTTTCTGATCAGTAAGTGCATCACTTTGAGATATAAAGTCACGTTAGTGGCTATCAACACATAAAAAATATATGAGAGAACTCTTTTAAAGCATTTTAGGAAAATATGTAACTACAAAGAGTCACGTTACAATTAGGGAAAAGCAAATGTCCTTTATAATTAAAGTTAATTTAAGTACGTAACTATTATAAATTATGTCAAAATTAATTTCACATAATTTATAAAATTTCTGTTTGATCATTTTGTTTCATACGTCATCTTTTGGTTCTTATTTTGATTTTTTTCCTTCATGTATTAATTGAACCACAAAGAAAAACAAATATCGGTTGATAATTGAGCTATAAAATTAACTTAATGGTTCACTTTCTTTCGTTATTTTTTTAGTTATTATAATCAGAAATATAGAAGAATCGAGTTTTCAGTGAACTATTCTATATTTTCAAATCATTTATACAATTAATTAATTAAATTTAAATTTAAATTTAAACTCAATTTAAATCAGTTAAGTTGAAATTTTATATAAACTTAGTATCAATAATATTCAAATATTTGGTACGAGTATTTTTATATAAATAATTATAACTTTATTTAAAAATATAATTTTTATTATTATTTCATAAATACTATTTACCTATCTCAATTTTTCAAGAATTATATTTTAAATGAAAACAATCACCATTCATAAAATAATTATAATCTCCATCTTAAAGTACTTTATAAATATAAAATTATATTTTATTTTATTTTTATTATACAAGTGTTTCATAAATTTAAATTTAATAAATATATTTTTCAAAATTATATAAAAATTAAATCATAAGTAACCGGACTCAAGCTTGATTTTATATATTTAAATATATATTTATATTAAAATTTTATAAATCATTGTTTAAAAGAAAAATTCATATTTAAACGATTTTCCTTTCTGAAATCAAGTTTAAAAACTTAAATTCAACGTACTACTGTGCCTCCTAATTTTAACCGTAGTTAGAAGTCAGCGTGTTTCTTAATTTTATTTTATTTTATAGCTTTGGTCGAGAAACATGTTTCTTAACTGTCCATCATTTTATAATGCGCTTTTGCCCACGTAGCTCAGATCCAAATCTCAATCAATAATTATCCTAAATTTAATTTTTCCCATTTAATTTTCCTAAATCTCAGTCGATAATTTAAAGGATTTAAAATCCAAATTATTTTCCTATATTTAATTTTGCCAATTTATATATTTATTGAAAATATGTTAAGAATCATTAAAAATATAATAATATTTTTAACATTCTTTTTTTTAATTTTTCCAATTAATACTTTAAATATATCAATTAACATTTGGCAAGATAAATTTAAGTTTTTAATTCAAAGTGATTTAATCATCAACTTCCCTCTCTGTTCCCTAATCAATTACAAGAAAGTGACTCCACTGTCCGCATGCTGCGCGTGGCTCACACTCACCATCGAAAAATAATTCATGTGCCATAATTTAGCAACGAAAAAATGCGATCACGCTCGCAGTCAGCTGGTGTCCCCAAACGATCCCATCAAGTGAAAGCATGTTATCTCTTGGAGTAAAATTCTCATTGTTCAAAAATTGATTAAAAAAACTAAAAAATTATAGTTTTAAAATTATTTATCAAAATAATGCATATTAAAAATTAATTATTAGTATGAATTCATTTAAATAGTTTAAAAATATTTTGAATAAAAATAAACTCATAAATTAATCCTTTAGTAATAAATTTTTAAATATTAGTCTTTTATCAAGAAACATTAACTTTTGTTGATTCAATGTTAAGTAATATTTGGAATGCTAAAATCATATTTTTATATAATATTAAGATTAATATAATTAATTTTTATTATCGTTCTTTTTATGCAAGTGTATTTATTAAAAAATAAAAAATTCAAATTAAGTTTCTATAATATCGTTTTATATAAATTATTTTTAATTATTAAGACAAGTATGATTTAATTATTTGAATTTAAAGGGTGCATAAAAGAAATTTATAAAAGATGGTCATGTTTTTCAATAGGTATAAGCGTACTTGCGGCTCTGTTCTGTAATTTCTACAACTTCTTTTCACTTTTAAGGGTAATGGCATTGCATTTTTTTCTCGAATTAGGTTTCGGCTAAGTTGGTAATGTTCTCAATGCTCTTTGACTCAGAAGATTAGTAAGTTGTTGCAGTTATGCTTTTATCTTAGATGTATCATAACTTATTTTTGAGAGCTTTTTGTCCATTGTTTGGGCTCATTGCTTTATCCAAAGGCTTTGTTGTTTCATTTGAGCTTCAAGCTTTGAAATCCTTTACTCCAATTGAAAGGTTGAGGACTCTGTCCTTTCTGGCCTTGCTCCTTGAGGTTACATATGGGTAAGGCGATAAACATTTGAATTTTGCCTCCTTAGCCACTCTCCCATGAATTTGTAGGTCTACTACGCCATCTTGAATCGTAATTATTGCCCGAGAAGTTGGCCTCCTGGGTCTCTGGATGTTTTACTGATGAATCTTGTACCCTCAGCAAGAATTCTATTTGTTTTGACAGGGTTTCCAACTTATGTGTTATTGAGTCGCTACTTTTTTCCTGATAGATTGAAGCAGTTTCCTTCTTTTTACTACTGTGATTGTCTGTTTGCCATTGAAAATTGCTAGATGCTATCTTTTCTATCAATGTATGGGTCGCAGTTGGCACCTTGCATAGGAAAGATCCTCTAACAGCTGCATCAACTGTGGCTCTATTGGAAGGTAAGAGTCCAACATAGAAAATCTGCATCTGCTTCCATACAAGGAAACCATGATGTGGACATCTCCTCAAAAATTTCCCAAAGCACTCTCATGTCTCGAATAGAGATTCAGAATCATATTGTTGAAATTTAGAGATCTCTGTCATTAGCCTCATGGAGAATGATGGTGGAAAATATTTGGCCAAGAATTGCTGGAATAGGCCGTCCCACGTTGTAATTGAAATTGATGGAAGTGTGGAGAACCATGCGTTCACCCTTTTCGTGACAGAGAATGGAAAGAGGCAAACCCTTCTAACATCTTTTGTAACACCGTTGTATTTGATGGTATTGGTGAGTCAAAGGAACTTTTTCAGATTAAGGTGGGGGTCTTCGTTAGGTCACCCCGAAAAGAATGTGGAATAATGTACTAGATTGATTAGGGTCGGCTTCAATTCAAAATTGTTGACCTCTATGTCAGGTGCTACAATGCTTTCGGCATCATCGTCAACAGTAGGTGTCATGTACTTTAAAATGGGTCATTCTTCCACCATTTTTTTTTCTGTCTGCACTCTTTCCTTAGTCTACTTGTTGTCTTCTCGATTTATGGATCAAAAATGAATTTTGCAATAGGTTTAGAACGAGTGAGCATAAAACAAAATAAAAATATTTAAATCAACCAAATACTCGATTTTCTTCAATATTGAAAATTAATCCCTAGTAACGGCAACAAAAACTTGTTCATTGGCAAGTATACCAGTCAAAAGTAATAAAAAGTTTTAGAATTAAGTTCTCAAGTTATCGTTCCACAGAGATTATTTTCAATTACCAAGAATACATTGATTCAATTGTTTAAATAGAAAGGATGCATAATGGATTAAAATAAAAAAAAGTTAAATTCAAAAAGTAATTTAAAAGAAACAAAGGAGGTTCTTGACAGAAATTGGATGAGAAAAGCTTAAGGCATAAGGTTTCACCTATTACACCTTTCTATGTTTTCTTTAGTTTAATCCCAATGTTAATTTCTTTAGTGTTTACCAACCATCCATTGATAGACGATGCCGAGTCACTATCAAAAGACCTAAGTTTTCTAAAGATTTTATAATATAGAGCCAAACCTAGGTTAATTTACGGAGATACATTCTCAGTCAAATTCAATTTTAGGTTTTCTTTTAAAAAATGCAAATAAGGTTTTAGGGGTTTTAAAAATTACAAATTAATTCAGAGAGGGTTAAAGTGAGTAAAAATGAATTAAGAAACATCAATCCACAAAATATCAATTGCGTATAACTTCAGCTATGACATTATCTAAAGATTTAAATCCGTGTTTGAATAATCATTCAATTCAATTATTAATTCAATCGAATAACCTAATTGAATAGAGTTACAAATTAAATCAAATAATCATTTAACCTAATCCACATTAATTATCAAATCAGAGCATCAATTGAGTCCTAATTTGAATTCTAACAATAGAAAAGTCAATTACGATCACAATACACAATTTTGATATTAGAGAGAAAAGAGAACAAACTCGGAGCAATGTAACGCAGAACTTAAGTCAGAATTACGACGTTTGGATTCTGCAGATTGGATGAGAGGTTTAGCCTTCCATCAGAACGCTTAACCCACGCAAGAATGAAAAAAGAACGAGAGTTTGAGAGAAAGTAAAAACAAGGATTCTTATTTTGGCTAAGTCTCAAAATCTCAAAGTGTTTAATCACATCATACCCTAATTCAAAATCTTATTAGTCTATTTATAGATTCTGATTAAGGTAAATTAAGTGGCCAAAATTCAGGCCACAATAATGTCTAAAATCGAAAATACAATTATTAAATAACAAGGGTCTAAATGTAATCTCACAAAAATATTAAGCAAATCTGCCTCAACCTCAAAAAATTATAAAAAAAATGAAAAACAACTCCAAATTCAGTAATCCATATATGCATTTTAAAGCCCTAGATGTGTAGAATCTAATGCAACTAGAATCAACTAAAAACGATATCTGTAGAAAAAGTTATGGCAAAATAGTAGTCAGAAGGTTAGAATAACAAAAAATACAAAATTAAAGCATTTATTTATAATTGGCCCAATTTATTCAAATAAGTAGAAAATGGTAAAAACAATAAAAATAAAACATATGAAAAATTTTTATTAATGAAAATAAAACTATAAATATAAACTTAAAATATATTACATCACCCATACATAATCTATTAACACCCGATGATCATGGAATGTTAATATTATTTTCCCTAGGCAATTAATCCCAATGATAATGCAAGACAAAAGATAGAGAAAACATAGAGAACCTATGAGTTTGTTAATTTCAGAACGGTTGGAAGAGAAGGATTAAGTTTGATTCGCCTAACCCTTTGTCTCGTTTTATCCTATAGTTTCATAATCACATGTGGCACGATCGTCTACGATGCAATTAACTATGAAATGCTAGGGGTAATTAGTTCTTAACATGAACAATTCAATTCAATAGGATAAAAATCAAACACACAAAGAAACCAACATTACTATTAAACGTAAAAATCACACAAAGTATGCAATAGGATCCCCTATAGCCCTAGTTATGGATTTAGCTATTCATAACAAAACGAAAATCGAAAAGTATGAAGAATAAATCCATAAACACAAATTAGAATTTAAATAAGAGAAACTTAAAAGGGAAAAAGATGAATAGAGTTCTCGTTCTCCAAGGAGTGCTCAATCACTCGCTCAGACTCTAAAGGGAGGCTCGTTGTCTTTGCCAATGATTTCTAATAACTCTCAACGGTCAAATAAGTCAAAACTAAGAGGAGGAAGAAGGAGTGTAGAATCAAGTGTATAGGATGAAGTAGAAAAGTTCTCTATAGAGTGGAGTATAAGGCCTCTTTATACAAGATATGCCATGAGTTCCTCATCGGTAAAGCTCTATCTTTTCAAATCAGTTTTATTCACAATCAGAATCTCAATCAAAATCTTTATATGAATTTCAAATCTAAATATGGATCAAAATTCCTGTAGGGTTTGAATTTTTATTTTTTAACTTTTGAATGTAGATCCGTTTAACATGGCAGTGCACCCTCATCCAGCATGATTGTGCTAGAAAACGAAGCACGCCCATATAGTTTAAGAAGCACAGTCGTGCATAAGTGTGAGATTAGCTAAAATCATCAAAGTTTTTGCTCAGAATATTCTCAAAAAAGTACTGATGGTTCTCTTATGCTTAACTGTGAAAATTAACATAGAAACTAGTGAGGAATCTCCATAAAATAAACTCCAATTACATAAATATAAGCCATAAAGTACATTAAAATATGGACTTATCAATTAACACCCACAATGGTCATGCAAAATATCAATTAAAGAAAGTATTAAACATCTATGAATTTGTTAATTTAATAACGATTGGAAGAGAAAAATTAATTTAGTTCACCTAATCCTTTATCTTGTGTTATCCTAGAGATCCTTTAACTAATTGTGGTACAGTTACCTATGATGTAATTAATTAGAGCTATGTTACGAATAACAAATTCACAATATGTAATTATATGTAATAGGACAAACTTAGATTCAAATATCAAAATCATATAAATTCATGAACAAGAGTTCCCATAGCCTTAACTATGGACTTAGTTACACATGCTTAAGAAAAAAATTAAAATAATCATAAACAAAACATAGTCAGAAGAAAATAGCAAACTAAATTATCCCAAAAGATTTGGGGATGAGAAAAGTTCTCGGTCTTCAAGTATGATCGATCAAGGCTTAAAGTTCCATTAAGAATGTGCCAATGATTATAAACAGGGTTATGAAAAAGATGTATAAAAGGTAAGGAATGGATAAGATGAAAACAAGATGGAAAACAAGATGCCTAGTCACTTCCCCATGGTCTTTTTTCAATAAGATTTGAAAACCTTAAAATTTCTTCAATTTGGGTTTTTCATAAGTAAGCACAGTTGTGCAAAGCCATAAACATGGTCGTCCATATAGTCAAAGCACTCACATGCTGGCTATTGGGGTCTAGGTGTGCTCGTCGCAAAACTCTATTTTCCAACCAATTTAGGCTCAAAATGCACCAAAAATCCAATAGTGGCATTTTCATATTATTATGTATAATCAATATATAAATTACTGTAAAACTCAATTAAAATAATGGTCACACATAAATATATAGACTATAAAAGCATACCAAAATACAAACTTGTCAAGCTAGTAGAGGAAGGAGAGCAGGAGGTGGCAGTGACAACTAGAAACATTATGGGTGGAGAAGAGGAAACATCAAAGATGACAACAGTGACAATGATAAAATTAGTCTCTAACCTTATGTAAAACAACATCGTTATAGAATCCTATGTATTACTTAACGTTATATAATAAAAGTTAACATTTTTTAGCTATTAGTGAATGTGAGAAACTAATTGCATGACGACTTGTTATATCAAGGAATGACTAGATAATTTTAAAAAGTAAAGGTCTAATTATCTAATGAACTAATTTGTAGACTTACTCTTTGAGTAAAGATAAAATATGTTATATACCATAAATCTTAAAATGCAATATGTATTGATTTTTAGTATGTGGAATACTTTTAAGAGAGGCATCATACGAAAAGTTGAAACTTGACAAAATATGTATTTTTTTTAGGAGGCATCTACATAGAACATGACTTGTGGCTTTACATTTTTTATTGCTTCATTCTAATTAGCACTACATTTAGATTTATTATGTGTTCATTTATGTTATCTTTTTATTTGATTAAACATGATTATGTATTGGGTATTTGATAATTGTGCACTTGTTAATGAAATAATTTTTTTTTCAAATGCTCATATGATTATGATATCTTAAACCATGCATATTCGTACACATTTAATTTTAAAGTTTCCTAGTTTTTGCTAACATGACAGTTATAATTGCGTCTCTTGAAGTATCCACATGCACAATTTGCTAAAGTCTCCTCCTATCACTATACAAGTAGTTGTGTAAGAGTAAGTATGGGCACACATGATAAATATTATGCATTTTATACTCTTTAATTGAAGAATAAAGCTTAATGAGTGTGGTTTAATCCCTAAGCTCATTAATTATGAATTTAGCCTAATTAAGTAATAATTCCAGTCCATGTGGAATCTAACTTCTTTGACAAATTTGTTCATATGTGTGGCTCTGTAGGTTCTTTTA